CAGCATGCTGTGTTGGGCTCAACCCGCAGGTTCCAAGCCAATGGTGCGACCACACTGCTCCCATGCCCCTCGGTTTGCTTCAACGAGATGAAGTCACCTTAGACTCGTTTTATCTTGTTTTACCTGAGAGCATTACAGAATTCATAGACTATTCATAGATATTCATATAATAGGCTATCTGTGAATTTCAATCGTTGCAGCCATGATGTACTGCTCAAGTAAGGTGCTACCTGCGAGTTGTGATGCCTCCTGGGTGGCCTAGATGCAACAATTAAGCATATATTCTAACATATTTCACATTGCGGGAAAACCCACACCTCCGAAATTGCACGTAGATGTACATTGTTGCACATTTCTTTCATGAAATGACCTGGACAACAATTGTGAGGTGTCTGGAAAACACTTGATTAAGTATGAATTGCATCGAATTACCACTTTCTCCGGAAATGGCAGTTCCAATTCTCCTTTCTAGCCCATGCAGAAGAGGCGCAAGGGCAGCTTTTCGCAGGTTCTCAGCTCAGAACGAGACCTGTGGAGATGCCTGGGAAGCGACCACCGGCATGGGTCATCAAGCTGACCCGATGCTTGGTTCTGGCTCAGGTCATTTATATCATTTTATATCCCTGCCCTGCCATCTTCCACCATTTTCATCCATGTTCCCAACAGGCATACGAAACAAATTAAAACATTATTTACAGAGGTTGGGTGGCAACCCTGAAGGTTCAAAGATTTCAGCCATTGCCAGACAGAGTTGGTAAGGTAAAAGCAAGGCTTTGAGAAAATGAAGGTTCCATCTAGGCGTTCCCATCGGAAGGGTTCCATTCCAGAGGGTCCTAGCAGAGTGTTCAGCAAAATTTTGGGGAAGGGTCCTGTAAGGTTCCAGACCTATTTCTGGATTCCAGACGCTTTGGACAGTTTCCCATAAAGAGAGCTTTGAATCTTTCAACAAAATTCAATTCACGGGTTTTAGATGGTTCTAGGTAATTTTGGAAAAACGGTTCCAAGCCTCTCAGTGTCTCATTACTTGGTACCAACAGATGAACCGTTGGGGCTTTGAGCATTGAGGGTGTTATGACACACATCAGGACTACAGAGTGCTGGGGGTGATATTATATGGGATATTGGAATGGTATACAATGTTGATATATGTTGATGAATTTCCTTCATTATCCACTTAAGTTCTGGTATCTTGTTTCGTTACTCTTTAGTTCGAGTCTCCCAGTCGAGCTTCCATGCATTCTGTGGCAGATGAGGATGAGATTTCCATTCCTCACTGGAACGGAGCTCATGTTGGGCAATATGTCCTCGTGTAACGCAAGCCGTGACAATGTCTCCGGCCTGGATGAGCTCAACTTTGCATGGGACCCGTGGGAAGCACTGTGGGGCGTGAGCTGGCCAAACGCGCTCAATGCGCTGGACACTGTGGCATTTCAATTTTCAGTCACTGGGCTGTCACCTTTCAGAGAGAGCCAGATGAGCCAGAGAGAGAGGACAGGATGGACAGGTTGAAGCATGTGACTTCGAGTTTCAGATTGAAACTTTGGCATACTTTGGGGCGTTCCAAGGTTGTTAATCCTGCACTCACTCCAGACACTTAGATGCATTCAACCTTAGTAGCAACCCGAGAGCTGGCATGTTTTGTGCTTGCACAGGAGGACCAGTGTGTGGAAGCCTTCTGGAATTCTGACATATATATAATTATATATATACTTTTATAGTTCATAATTATTTATATGACATATTATAACATTATTGTTATAGTCATTTATAGTTCATGAACTTTGAGGATTGTCACCCTGATACCAAGGAGATGAATGTGTGGCACTTTGAGATGTTGAATGCTTCCGGTCACGTTCAATATGTGGTTGAGAATATTTCAGGGTGCCTGGGCTGCATGGGCGTTGACAGATGGCCATGCCAGGTCCTGTGCCATCGTAGTGTCAGAAGTGATCGTGGTTGTATTTTGTATACACGTTTTACATGGATTGCGAGTGCCTAGCGTTGCTCTAGCATTCTTGTGTATGTTTTTTTTGATACATTTTGTGTATATACAATATATATATATATTATATGTATATACATACATACATATCTACATACACATGAAGTCCACACAATCCTGATAATCAAGCCAGGTACGTGGCACCGTATTCTTGCCAACCACTTCAAGTGTTTCAGGTTTCCCGTTGCCAACGCTTCTCTGGAGAATATTTCGCAAGCAGAAGCTGCGGTGATTGGGCCTGCCTACAATAACATGAGCTTCCTCGTCGTTGCCGCTAAGAACCCCAGCCTGGATTTTAAAGGCTTTGTTTTGTTGTATCAGTTTACTGGAAGACCCCCACCGGTAGAAGTTTTTTTTTTTTTTATAGATGTGTTCCATCATTTCCGTTTTCAAACTTATCTATTTGGGGGCTTCTGCAGTACGGTTCGCAAGCTGCTATTGAGACAGCTGGCGGCAATGAAAGCAACACCATCGACCATCTTGCTATTACTAAAAGGATGTGCCATGACTTGTCCGAGTCGAGATTTGTGGCGTGTCGCACATTGGAGACATCTAAGACCATCTAAGGCTGACATTGCCAAGTAGTTGTGGGGGAGCCTGGGTCGGCTCACCCTTATGGGGTCCACTCCAGTGTCATCTTTCCATCCATATGCCAAACGGCTGCCAGGCTGCATCAAGTTGCTATCAAGCTGCATATCTCTACACACATAATATAATATATATATATACAGATATATCTATATATATACAGATATATCTATATATATATATATATACAGATATATCTATATATATATACAGATATATAATTATATATATATATATTATATTATAAGTATGTATGCAAGCATATGGAGCGTGGATACAAGCATATGGAGCGTATATGAGCATAGAGCACGAAACCATTGCATTTTCTTCGTACACTCTGCGCCTGCAATAAATGTAGCAGCATGTCAATGTGCCAGCTATTTCTAGAGGGAAGAGGCATGCCTGGTTTGGGACTGACTTTCAGCCACAAAGACCAGTATCAGAAGTTTGGGAGGTTTGGGCAAGGAAGTTACAGCAAGAGCGTGTTGGCTGTTTTGGGACGAATTTGTGACGAGGCATTTGCGTGGTGAAGGATGCATTTGATGCGATGCCGAATTCATTTTTTAGTGACTTGGCCAAGCCCAGATTGTGCAGGCTGATGGGAATTCTGACGAATTCTGCAGTTGCAAATCATTTTTCGTGCCATGCTCTGGTGTTTATGGTGTTTTCAACTTGCAGCACTGCATCCTTGGGTAGGTTCATTTGCTGGTGCCGCAACGGATAGAGGGTCAGCTCGGCTGATTGAGGTCTTTGCGCAGATCCGATGCTTTTCTATGTTCCTCCCGAAGATGAAAATGAAACCGAAACAGAAACCCAACCTGCTGCTTGGCCCAGCGTGAGGGCATTTAAATTGCTTCAACATGCTTCAAGCACACTGGTCACGTTTCGTTTGGTGTTTTCTGCTTCATCTATGAAGAATTGCAGCAAAATGCTGCAGAAAGTGCCAGCCGCTTAGGCAATTCTGAATGGTAACGAGTCTTGCCTACCTCATGCTACAAGGGCCCGCCCGAGCAAGGCCCTGACAGTGGAGCTTCAGATGCTGCGTTGAAACATTTGATGATTCGTTTGGCGTTGGACCTGCTGAGCTGCTGGACCAGTAAAAAATCAAAACATACTATCAAACACGAATCTAACCGTATCTAACATAATTTTATAATATTCTATATAATAATTCTAATATCTGAGCTTTCTGTCGCTTTCCAGGCGGTCAGCTTCGTGCGCCATCAGGGTGCTTGCATGACGCCGACGGGGGTGCCGCATTTTCATTATTTTAACCGCACGAATCGATCGCATTGCGAGATGATGTGCGCACAAAGATGCTTGTCCAACAGTACTGAGTCAGTAGTGGATGGTGGGTATCAAGCCTAATGGGCAAACACTTGAGGAATTTGAGAAAGCTGAAGAGAGCGAGTGAAGGTGAATGAAACCAGATGAAGTTGCCTCACAAGTGCCATGGTTGCCACAGGCACCATGGTTGCCATGGCCTTTGCGTTCAGGTATGTTCAGGTGCATGTCAGATTTTTGGGGATCTCGGGTTCTGGGACTCCGGGACGTTATCGGGCTTGGTGCGCAGCCGAGCGCAGCCGAGGACATGAATGCTATGGTTTCTCTGTCAGTCATGAGCACCCAGAGTGCTTTCTCTGGATGGAGGGTCACTTGAACAATTCTGGGTCTTCCTCGATGGATTGCAACATCAGGGATCAGGAGACACTAGATACTGGTGATACTGTGGAGTGCAGTGAGAGGTGAGGCAACAGTGAAATCTGACCCAGGAGTCAGGATCAAGCTCAGCAATGCACAGCTGCTGCTGTTGTGTAGCCACTCTAGATAGACTTAACGGAGTGTTTGGGGACAACATCCCCAAGCCAACACCGTTTAACATGACTCCCTGATTCATGCATCGATTGGTGTGGTTTGCACATGATAGTAAAAAGTTGAGAGCTACTCCGCAGGAGATGTGTTCGATACACATCATGCCAGAGATGCCTTTCGGATTGCAATGAAGAAGACCAAAAAAATGTTCTTCCATCGCCATACCTCAGCATTTACATGCATTTGAATTACATACGTGCATGTATATATATATAGGTTTGCATTTGGTGGTTTGTAGAGCGCTGTTCCTTGAGACGGTGCGGGATGATGTGGGACGGTTTCAGGACATGTAAAGTTTCACAGTGTTTCACCTGTTAAAACAAGCTTCACCGTGTCAGCATTTACCCCAGGCCCTTGGTGGCGAACCGTAGCTCCTCAGATGAATTGCAGTTGTTAGCACTGGCGACATCATTCATTTGCTGGCAAGTTTCCATCTCAACACCCGGACAAGATGAATCAAGAGTGGAGACTTAGAGACAGTTCTATTGCGCCCTCTATTTTGCCTCACACCTTCAAGGTTACGCTTTTCAGATGCTAATCGAAGATCCAGAAGAAGTTCCTCAGCTAGCATCAAGTGCAGCATCAAGCTTCTGAAGCCCCGGCCTATTTTAGAACAAGCTGTTCAGTATAGTACAGTTGACAGACATGGCAGCTGTTTACATGTGACGTCACTGATGTATTTTCAAGCTTGGACGATCTTGATGGATCTGATTGTGCAGGGCTGTTGCCCCATTTCAGCGCAGGAGCTTCCTGCTGGCCATTGGCAATTTGAGGGCCATGAGGGTCACTATCCAAAGTGCGGGGCCAAAAATCTCAGCAACACGTGCACGACGTTTGCATTACCTTTGCAATTCCTGTGCAGATTGAGCGGAGCCAGTCTTACCATGTCGCAGCATCAGTTTTTGTGTGTTTCCAATGTTTTCTCTTGTAGCAGCATGCAAAAATGAGACATGACGTGAGAAAAGCTCCAAGAGCCCTGGCAGGATGTTTCAAAGTGACATCTACGACATGGGCTTCACACCCACCACTACGTCCACAACAACGACCATATTCTCCATGGTGCAAATATTGCCAAGTGTTTCTCTCCTCACTGAGATGTTTCAGGGATGTTCTGACTTCGCAGAGATTCAGTCATCCAGTCCACTTCAAGTCCATCGTGTGATCCACACATATCCAGCCACAGAATCCACATCCATCCACATTGTTTCTTTCGCTGAGGTTCTTCTACCAATGCAAGTGGGACCTGTTTGCATTGCCTTTCGGCTTCCTTCCCCCATGGAGGGTGGCCAAATGCACGTGATATTCCCATCCATGTTTTCACTCCCAGATCCTGGAGGACTGCATCAGCAACAGGGTGCGTTGATGGTCTGGCGTAAGGATCGTAAGGTGTTTGACATTGTTTGACAACTACAAAGAGACCGATGAAACAGCTAGAGATCTTGGTGCAAAAGGTCGCAGGCAACCAAACACAGGACGTTAGACAATTCGATGTTCATTTTCAAATGTAGTCAAGTTCCCTCTGCCCAAATTATACACTGGATTCTACTGGATTATAGTGGATTTGCAAGAATCATTTAGACTCTTGGGTAGTTGCCTGGGAGGATACGGACGCCACCACTGGCTCTTTCACGGATCAGTCAACCCTCTGGTTTTCCCGAACATTTCAGCCATGGCCATGCCACTTCCAGGCTGGCATGTGTGGCATGTGCTCACTTATGAGTGGGTGCACTTGAGCCTGTGGCAAAGGCCATTTGACAAAATGTGTATCCATTTGTCTCAGGTGCAGAGGCTCATCCTGAGATGCACCTTTTGAGAATAGTGCCTTGGAACTTGGACCATTTTGGATCGTCCTATTGGATTAAAAAATGGATCACCTTAGATCGTTTGTGTGTGATGTGTGTTATGTTTGTTGTTATGTTTTGTTGTGTGGATATGTGGATGTCTCAATGTCAGCACCATGATCAGTCGATCAAAAGACTGTGATTTCAGCATCAGGAAGTCCATCAAAGAAGTGATAGCGCTGTGCGCAGGTGTTCGAACCCTTAGCGACGTTAATGCCGATGGTGACCTACGCCTTCCAGTTCGATATCGTCAATCCCCTTACCAAAAATGCGACTCACAACATGTGGCAACTTAGAACCTTCAGTGAAGATGGCCAACCTTTGCAAACGCAGAATATCCAGGGCTATGAACTGGATATGAACGAAACTGACATCAATGCCAGCCTTGTCCCAGTCTTTGTGCCAGATGCATTTCGATCGGCTGCAGTCATTCCACATAGTGCTGATGCTCTGATGCAAACAGCAGTCTGCACAGCTTTTAGCTTGCCAACTGGGGCTTGCTCATCGCCACATGGATGTGAACTACTCCTACACACGCCCGTGGGTTTTATTCCCGAAGATGAATTCTGTGGCTCCACCTTTCAAAGAGGACAGGTGATCCAAAACAGGTTGTCAGGGTTTCAACTGTTCATGACATTGAGCATCATTGAGCCATGATGATCAGAATGGCTCCGCTCCAGACTTGTCGGGTTCACCAGGAGCAGGGGAAGCAAAGTTGGCAGATGTCAGTCATTTCCCCTTCCTGACTGGCACTGAACTCGGACTGCATCCGCTGACTTCATGCAACTCGCATCTCGGCTTAAGCTCAGAACATTTCCGATTTGCCTTAGATGAAGCCAGAATCCCATTCTCCCCGGTCAAAGGTGGGTTTAGTATGATTTTGTGATATGTAATAGTGCATAAGCATGCATAAGCTCTCACATTGGTGGTTTTGTGATGCTTCAAAGCTATGGCATTGCAATGCAGAGGTCCGTTCAGTCGAATGGTGGCTCGATCTACCACTTGATCATTCCTCCTGGAAGCCTGGTGGACGTGAGCATCTACGCCTTCCAGCTGCCTGGCACGGGACATCACAGGACCTCTCCAATCCGCTCCGAAATCGGAAAGCATGATGCATCATGTTAAAAACGGCTTGCATTCATCCATCATTCATCTTGATCATCTCTGATCCTCTTTCATTTTTGCATGTTTTTATATATATACTTGTTTCTACATTTTCTTCCTCATTTCTCGCATCGTTTTACAATTTAACTCGTTCACCGGCCCAGGGCCTAGAAAAGCACCGCGGTTCACATTGAGGTTCACAGTCGTGAACCCTGCTAGCCCTCCGACAGAGAACTCGTGGATTTTGGAGCTGTGGAGCAGAAGTATTTCAAGTGTCACGGCTGCGCACAAAGACATGACATGATATGACTAGTCATATATGACTAGGTATGCAAAGATAATGGTCTTGTTTCTTTCTGTGGCTACAGATGCTGGATGCTGGATGCCAGTCCAGATTAAGATTGATCCGTATTGATCCCTCAATTAGGTCTTGCTTTTCAGCCACTGGCAATCAGATGTGCCATGAGACGATCTCGTCCATATTTTGAAATTGTCCATGCGTAGCGCACGGCTCGACAGACAGATCTCGTTTGTTGATCTCTTTGCGCTTGCCTTCTCTGCTGGCAGAACTTCAGGTGATGGATACCTCGATTTACATTTGACGCACCGAGAACAACTTACAGGATATACCGTCCTCACTGAAGCAGCAAAACTGTCCACCTTCCAGTATGCAGCTTTGCTAATTTTGAGATCTGAGAGTTTGACTCAATTCGCGGTTTTGTCTCAAAGTTGCCGACGTTCTAAATTATCATAATTATCTAAATTATCGTTCTATATCCTTCTTTTTTTGGTGGGTAAGAGACTGTATCTAAGCAGGACGCCATTGACCCGGCCTTATTTTGCTCTTTGCTCTTCCAATCCCAAGGCGCGGGCAGATCATGCGTTTCAGGAACAGCATCGGCCCAAGGAGTATTCAGTGGCGGTGGAGTTCAAGCCACGAGCAAATTGTGGAGGTTTCACCTGGTTGGGGTCTGCAGTATTTGGCGTCTCAGTGTGCATCACCCAGGCCGGCCAAAATTCAAATTTCCTGACTCGAAACACATTCGACGTGTCAACACATGTCATCATCATATCATTGTTTGGGCACCTTATGGCACCTTTCACGATTCAGCCCCAGTTTATGCCGTTCCGATCGTTCCGCAGATTGAATTGCCTCTTGGCAGATGTGCTCCAAACTGGGTTCGGGGCCCAGGACGTCTCAGGCCTATAGCATCGGGTGGCCAATCATTGGCCAATCATTGGTATCACTTCCAGAAATGCTCAAAGTTTGGATTTAGGATGGTTTAGATATGTTTAGATTGATGCTTCAATGCTTTACCTCTGCAAGTGCCTAGGTTTATGACCGACCAAGTGCAGGCAAAGGCTTCGACAGGCACGACCTCCGCCACATGTTGCAAGGGAAATGCCAGGCAGTTGTGTTTCAGCCCATGGAATAGTACGAAAGTCGTGTCAAGAAAAAAAGCTTGTAGAAGAATCTCCGGAAAGTAGCAAAGCATGCGAAGCAACTTTCCAGATCTTTCCTTTGGCAAAATCAGACGTTGACCTCAATGGATTGCCAGGTGCGTCAACACTACACTGTTTCCTTCCCTTGGAGGCTGGACTTATATATATATAATTATATATATATAGATGCAGAGTGCACCAAACTGGTCCAACATATCTACAGTAATTAACATGTCCATGCATGTCCTGACAGAGTTCAGAACATCTATTATATAATGGTCTTTCGTGCGTGTGTTGAATGTGTTGTTTGGCAACGTTTGACAGGTTTGCGGTGCTTACCCACAGATACTGTGATGACACCCAAGAAGGATGCAGGCGGCTGTTGGCTTGAGCTACTTGGAAGATCTGTGGCAGCAGTCACTCAAAGCCACAAAGTGCGGCAAAAACATCACAAAAACGGACTCCGAATTGAAAGCCAAGTAGCTCCGAGGTTTCGTAGCTCAGTGCTCTATGACACCTTTGACTACGTTTTTCAACTCCAAATCATTGCAGTAGAGCCGATCTCCACTTCAGAGCCTTGGCTGTCATAAGCTGTGATATAGCATGGGCCGTAGGTGTGTTTTGTTGCAGAACTGCAGTTCAACATCATTCGGCCCCTTACATTTCCTTACATCCTCTTACTCTTACTGTTTGCCATGCGTAGCTAGAGAAGATGGGCAGCTGAGCAGCTCTTGCATGGCCACATATGGCCACATATGGCCACAGTCATTCCCAAGGCCAACTTGTGGGGTATGCGCACTTTCGAGAGTGGTGACTTGGAAAGCACTGGATGGTTTCCATGCTGCACTTCCAAGATCTGCCGGGGAAGTCCATGGAGATTGGGTCACGGATTTTCTCGGAGTATATGGTATGCATCGATGTGTGGATGCATATGGTCTTGTAATGTCTTGTACGTCCTCCTCAATATCCTCAATTGCAGTTGTCTCGACTTGACCGAATTCAAAACTTTGCAGCTGGCAAAAAAGGAACAACAACTGACTCTGACAACTGCTAAGGGCTGGATTTGATCAACTCCCAGCAGACTATCGTGGGATTTGTGGCTGATACCACGACCACCACTACCACAACGTGGAACTTTGCATATGCCAGCATTTACGAGCATGTCGAAAGTGTGTTAGAGCCTGCAACGCTGTGCGTCACTTTTGATGTTGAAGAAAGCTTTCTGCCAGATCCGGCTCTACACATCTACTTACCTTCCGGATTTCGAAGCATGTCACCCACCTGTCACCATGAAATCCATGAAGTGAACTTGACACTCTTTCCGCAATGTCTTGGTCAGCCCTTCGTGGCAATGGCATCACAGCAGGCTTCCTGTGAGGAGATTTACGATCCACGCCACTTGCGGTACTATTTGAAGCTATCAGTGCAAGGCGTCAGCAACGCCACCCTGGGCCACGCCTTTCAGTTTCAAGTGAAGGTACCGAGAGTCAGGCCTGAGAGCAATTCCTGGAGCGTTGATCTTCGATATAACGACAGAGTCCTTTGGATCCGAGAGCACTCATGTGGTATGGGCTGGGTCATATGTCATATGTGGTTAGCATAGGGAAGTGCAGTGCTGAAAACAATTGAAAACATCTAGAACCTTGATGAAGAACCGTTTGACTCTCGACAGGGTTAAACGAGTTGTATTTGATGAAGTAAGCCACGGAAGATACCGTCAAGCTACCGGAATTGTTTTTCTTTTTACACTTGAGCTCGTTTAAGTAGGGATTCTGTTCTTTGGACGGGGCCCTATTCGATTGCCTTTGATTGCATACCCGTAGCAGCTCACGACCATTTCCCGCTATCCTTATGATTTCAGTCTCTCCTCCATTTCTAGACCCCAAGGTAGCACAGTTCCTCGACACACACAGTGACACCACGCTTGTCTTGCCCATTCCTGCCTTTTTGTTGCCTTTTCATTTTCCTTCGGACGGTCGTACAGCTTCACCCCCTACCTTTCGTTCACCGTCTCGAGTAGCATTCCAGTTTGTTTCCAATGCTCTTCACAAAGAGCGAGTGCTCAGCCAAGATCATTACAACGCTGATATGTTTTTCAGCGATGCCAACCGGTAATCCATTGCTTGGCACCCTTTTTCCCAAGGCGGCCGCTAGAAAGCCCCTGCCCGAGTCCTCCTGGCCCTCCCATGTCCCAGTCTCAGGTCTACGCCGCAGGCATCAATGGTTTTCTGATCAGTGAGTGGCCCAACAAATGCTTCTTGGCGCACGTTGCAGCTCACAGACTCTTACAATCTCTTTCCGACGTGTAGTTTTACATTGCACAGTACATACTGTAAACATCTGTAAACCATACTGTACCATACTGTACCATGCTATACCATACTGTACCATACTGTACCATACTGTACCATACTGTACCATACTGTACCATACTGTACCATACTGTACCATCTGACTTGATCTGACACAATCTTAATGATTGTGTTTAGAAGTCAAACTTCCGACAATAAGGAAAGATGAAAAGCACAGGTGGGAAGAATCAGAGAAGAGAAGAGGAGAAGAAGAAAGAAGATCAGAGAAGAGAAAGAGTCAGAGTAGAAAAGTCGTGAACCACTGTGTGTTTTCCAATGGTTTGTGGCTCCGGAGGGTCGAAAAGTAGGCTCGCTAAAGCGGCGAGTGCGGAGCCATTTGGCGGGATGGGAGATGAAAAATTGTACGCTGTTGTGGCGCGAAACGCGCTTCGAAGTCAAAATGCACAAAACACCATGTTCGGAGCACTTTCGGAAGTTGAGATATGAAAAAAATGTGGCGCGAAGCACATATATTTTCAAGTCAAAATGGGCAAAGCACACCGTTCTCGGAGCCTCTATGGAAGCTGAGATGATGAAACAACTGCACGCCGTTCTGGTGCGAAGCACATTTGGAAGTCAAAAGTGTGAAAAACTGACGGTCTCGGACCACTTTTGGAGGCGCCTTGCCACAAGTGAGCAAAATGTGGGGGTTTTGTAGCAGTTTCAAAAACGTTGGCAGGCGTGGGCCATTTGAAGAGGATCCGCAAAGATGCATGTCAAGTGGCAGGCCCAGTACGAGAGACATGGTCAGCAGAGATGTTAGGAGGTCCCGGGCGCTGATTTCCTGAGAGGTGTTGCCTTTTTAGAGCATTGGATATTCAGGTTTGCTAAGATGATTTTGCGCGGCAGGTGCAGCACTTCGTATGACCTGGCCTCACTTTTTCTTGGCAGGCGCAATACTTTAGGCAGATGGAATGGAAAAATCGCAAAACGCTTTGGTAAATCATTGGTAAGAGGCCGTCAGCTCTGCACTCAACTTTCCATTTTTGAAGGATGTCTCGCAGACTTGCCTCGTTTTTGATGTTGTCAACTTCGAAAATTGAGGAGTTGTCGCAGAAGTGCTTCATTTTTGAAGTTGTCAAGTTCCAAAATTGATCAAAATTGAGGAAGTCTCGCAAAATTGCTTCGTTTTTGAGGTTGTCAACTTTGAAAATTGCGGAAGTCTCGCAGAATAGCTTCGTTTTCAAGCTTGCAGGTAGATAGACAGATAGAAAGACAGATGCATAGACAGATAGACAGGTAGATAGACAGATAGACAGATAGATAGACAGATAGAAAGACGGATAGATAGACGGATAGATAGACAGGTAGATAGACAGATAGATGGATAGATAGACAGATAGATAGATAGATGGATAGGATAGATAGGATAGATGGATAGATAGATAGGTAGATAGATGGATGATAGATAGAGAGATAGAGAGATAGAGAGATATAGATATAGATATAGATACAGATATAGACAGATTAGATAGATTAATTATACAGATAGAATAGATAGATAGAGATAGAGATAGATATAGATAGATTTAGATGGAGATAGATAGATAAAGATAGAGATAGATAGATAAAGATAGAGATAGAGATAGAGATAGATAGATAGATAGATAGATAGATAGATAGATAGAGATAGAGATAGATATAGATATAGATATAGATATAGATCGATATAGGTAGATCTAGATAGATAGACAGATAGGTAGATAGATAGAAAGACAGGCAGATAGATAGATAGATAGACAGATGGACAGGTAGACACAAAGATAGATAGCTCAGCCACTTTTCGATCCATCAGTGGGTCCGCTCTGCCATCCGTGATTCACAGCAACCAAACTCTCCTATAGGTTTCCTATCTTTGAAACTTCCACCACCGCCTTGTGGGGTACTACTGGTAGATTATGCATGATTATGCATGATCTTGCCTTCTATCTGTCAATGTCAATGCTTGAAGTGCCGCAAGGAGTAAGCACGCTGGAGACGACAGCTGAGGCAAGTGTCTTTACCAAACAAGCCTCTTACCTGCCCAGCTCATTGCTGAGTATCCCGATGAATCTCCAGGGAAGCAGCTTGGCAGCACAGGGTTGATGCAATTTTGTGCAACACAAAATGAGATAAAATGAGCACAATCTGCGATATGTATCGATATGTCAGCAAAAAAACATCAAAATTCCAGGCCTGTGTTTGCATTTCGCTGCGGTGAGATTCGAATTCATTTGGGGCCTGCTGGTCTGAATAGATTCAAAATGATTCAAACCTGAGGGTCAAACCTGCATTAGACAGGTGCAGTTCTGCCTAGGTACGCCCACTTGTCAAGCATCGACATTTACGGCACCACCTGTGGAGTGTGGGACATGATGCCTCAAACACCTTGGTACAGTTTCCCGACCGAACTGCAGAACTTCATGCAAGAATCGAGAGAGAGAGAGAGAGAGGGAGAGAAACAGTTCAGTGGGGTGTCCAATATTTATTGAGTATATTCCAGTATTGATATGTATGATACGTGAGGTATTGATGCTCTTGAGTGGGGAACGAAGGAAGTAATGGGAGGTAGTCTATCACTATGCCCCCAATTGCCTCACTGTTGGGGTTGCAAGGTCACTGCTCAAATGGATCGGACTTTTCCAGTTCATACTACGCCACTGCATCGCACAACTGGTGCCAGTTGCCTTGGTGTTTTGACAGCAATCAATGTTTTCAGCAGTCAATGTCCTTCCAGGATTCGAAACAATGTTTTCAAGTGCTCATCAGAATTCAAGCAGTCAATGTTTTCTAAGATTGCTAATTGCCGTCAGATACATGCTCAAGTGTAGTGCTCTTGGAGTTTCCAAGCACTTCCCGCTCTTCCATTCATGACTACATGCCTACACACGCCACCCACTGTCATTGCTGTTTTTGTGTGGCCACTCCTTGTGTGGATCCAAGGTGTTACGTTGATGCAGGATGCCCAACAGCAAGCGCCACACGGCTTTTCAATGGCTCACTTCTTCACTACAGTTATGACACGTGCGGGCGGACACCAGATTGCTACAACAATTTTGAGAGTGAATCCCGTTGCCCCTATGACCCGCATGGAACTGGGAACTATTTGATTTTCAAGTCCAATGGCTGTGAATGCTTGTACCATGGTTCTGAACTCCCAGAGAGTCTGTACGCAAATCTTCCTCCAGTGCCTGGGCAGTATGAGAGCCTTGGTGAAAAACGTTTGGTTCTTTTTTATTTTATTTTTTGATATTTTAGATTATGTCCTGTTATATTTTATTTGGGGCGAGGTGGTATACATAGTATAATATATATATGTGTGTGTAACCATGTACATTATATATATATATTTATTTATATTTATATTTATATTTATAGTGATGGAATGTTGTGGCTGTATCTAGTGGAAAAGGCTTGGATTTGACATGGTTCGACAATATGATAATATGAGTTGCAGCCATGAGATGTGCTTGGCAGATTGACGTTGCAAGATGAGATCATGAGACCCTTCATTGGACCCAATGACTTCGTCACATCTCATTTCAACACACCAGAAAATTGGGCCCTGATTGGCTTGAATGAGCTCGGAAGATGTATCGAGGTTTGATTTTTCTTGGTGTAGTGGTGGTGTAGCTACTTCTGCGCCCTGGCCTGGCCGAGGAACGTTTCATACATCCGCGTCACTGGTACTACCTGTGCTGCATGGGATCAGGTACCAGGCACCCCCTGGGCACAGTATTGCCCGCCAACTGCAGACTGGTGCCATTCAAACTACAATTTTTGTCAGTTGCCTTGGTGCTTTGTTGGAGACAGTTGTGAGAGTAAGCTGATGGCACATGAATTTTCTGGGTCACAAGCAGCATACTACAGCTACGACACGTGTCTCTCGACGCCAGACTGTAAAACCATGCCTTTTGATGATGCTTGTCCCTTTGACTCTGAAGACACTGGGTGGGCCACTGCGCAAGAATGTCCGGAGAGTTGGTCTGATGTTTGCGACTGTCTCTATCAAGGGAACTTCTTGCCACCGGAACTGTACACTCAATTTCCTGAAGATGAGCCGGGCAAGTATTCCATGGTTCCAAATATTGCCATCTATGGCACCGCATGCGCTGCTTGGGATCAAGTCCCTGGTACACCTTGGTCACATCAGTGTGCTCCTGGCTCAAACTGGCCAAGTCCCAATTTTAATTGGTGCCAGCTGCCTTGGTGCTTCGTTGACAAGCGGTGTGCTTCAAGGATTCCAAGTGTGGTTTTTAATGGTTCTATGGCTTACTACAGCTATGACGCCTGTGGCAATGCCCCTGACTGCTACAACAACTTCGAAAGTGAACCTCGCTGCCCATATGATCCCAGCGGCAGCGGTACTTTCATGGTGCACAAGGGTAGCTGTGAATGCTTGTTTCAGGGCCTTGAACTGCCGGTGTCTGTCTACATGAGCTATCCACTAGAACAGCCTGGTAGATATGCCAACCTGACCTACATACGGATCTTTGGTACTACCTGTGCTGCATGGGATCAGGCACCAGGCACCCCCTGGGCACAGTATTGCCCGCCAACTGCAGACTGGTGCCATTCAAACTACAATTTTTGTCAGTTGCCTTGGTGCTTTGTTGGAGACAGTTGTGAGAGTAAGCTGATGGCACATGAATTTTCTGGGTCACAAGCAGCATACTACAGCTACGACACGTGTCTCTCGACGCCAGACTGTAAAACCATGCCTTTTGATGATGCTTGTCCCTTTGACTCTGCAGACACTGGGTGGGCCACTGCGCAAGAATGTCCGGAGAGTTGGTCTGATGTTTGCGACTGTCTCTATCAAGGGAACTTCTTGCCACCGGAACTGTACACTCAATTTCCTGAAGATGAGCCGGGCAAGTATTCCATGTTTCCAAATATTGCCATCTATGGCACCGCATGCGCTGCTTGGGATCAAGTCCCTGGTACACCTTGGTCACATCAGTGTGCTCCTGGCTCAAACTGGCCAAGTCCCAATTTTAATTGGTGCCAGCTGCCTTGGTGCTTCGTTGACAAGCGGTGTGCTTCAAGGATTCCAAGTGTGGTTTTTAATGGTTCTATGGCTTACTACAGCTATGACGCCTGTGGCAATGCCCCTGACTGCTACAACAACTTCGAAAGTGAACCTCGCTGCCCATATGATCCCAGCGGCAGCGGTACTTTCATGGTGCACAAGGGTAGCTGTGAATGCTTGTTTCAGGGCCTTGAACTGCCGGTGTCTGTCTACACGAACTATCCACTAGAACAGCCTGGTAGATATGCCAACCTGACCTACATACGGATCTTTGGTACTACCTGTGCTGCATGGGATCAGGTACCAGGCACCCCCTGGGCACAGTATTGCCCGCCAACTGCAGACTGGTGCCATTCAAACTACAATTTTTGTCAGTTGCCTTGGTGCTTTGTTGGAGACAGTTGTGAGAGTAAGCTGATGGCACATGAATTTTCTGGGTCACAAGCAGCATACTACAGCTATGACACGTGTCTCTCGACACCAGACTGTAAAACCATGCCTTTTGATGATGCTTGTCCCTTTGACTCTGCAGACACGGGGTGGGCCACTGCGCAAGAATGTCCAGAGAGTTGGTCTGATGTTTGTGACTGTCTCTATCAAGGGAACTTCTTGCCACCGGAGCTGTACACTCAATTTCCTGAAGATGAGCCGGGCAAGTATTCCATGGTTCCAAATATTGCCATCTATGGCACCGCATGCGCTGCTTGGGATCAAGTCCCTGGTACACCTTGGTCACATCAGTGTGCTCCTGGCTCAAACTGGTCAAGTCCCAATTTTAACTGGTGCCAGTTGCCTTGGTGCTTCGTTGACAAGCGGTGCGCTTCAAGGATTCCAAGTGTGGTTTTTAATGGTTCTATGGCTTACTACAGCTATGACACCTGTGGTAACACTCCAGACTGCTACAATGACTTTTCCAGTGACAAGCGCTGTCCCTATGACCCCTATGGAACCAAGAGCTACAAGGTACACAAGGGACATAACTGCGAGTGCATTTATCAAGGACGGGAACTGCCTTCAAGTTGGTTTAATTGGAATGACACCGATGTTTCGGATACCTTTGGTGAAAACTTTATTGGTGTTTATGGAACCACGTGTGCTGCATGGGCCCAGATGCCTGGAATGCCCGATGCACACTTATGTCCCGCGCATGCCGACTGGTGTAATAGTCACAACAACTGGTGCCAGCTGCCTTGGTGCTACGTCGATCAGTCTTGTGAAACAAAGGTCACCAGCAGGATGATAGAAGGTTCTTTAGCCCCAGCATACTACAGCTACGACACGTGTCTCTCGACGCCAGACTGTAAAACCATGCCTTTTGATGATGCTTGTCCCTTTGACTCTGCAGACACTGGGTGGGCCACTGCGCAAGAATGTCCGGAGAGTTGGTCTGATGTTTGTGACTGTCTCTATCAAGGGAACTTCTTGCCACCGGAGCTGTACACTCAATTTCCTGAAGATGAGCCGGGCAAGTATTCCATGGTTCCAAATATTGCCATCTATGGCACCGCATGCGCTGCTTGGGATCAAGTCCCTGGTACACCTTGGTCACATCAGTGTGCTCCTGGCTCAAACTGGTCAAGTCCCAATTTTAATTGGTGCCAGTTGCCTTGGTGCTTCGTTGACAAGCGGTGCGCTTCAAGGATTCCAAGTGTGGTTTTTAATGGTTCTATGGCTTACTACAGCTATGACACCTGTGGTAACACTCCAGACTGCTACAATGACTTTTCCAGTGACAAGCGCTGTCCCTATGACCCCTATGGAACCAAGAGCTACAAGGTACACAAGGGACATAACTGCGAGTGTATTTTGCATGGGTCGCATTTGCCTGCAGATGTGTATACCCTTTACCCACTGGGAGAGCCTGGCAAGTATGCAACTTGACACACATCAGCGTTTATGGCACCACATGCGCTGCATGGGACCAAATGCCTAGCACCCCATGGGCTCCCTACTGTCCGCGAGATGCAGACTGGTGTCGCAGCGAATTCAATTTTTGCCAGCTGCCTTTTTGCTATGTGACTGAGGCATGTGACAGCAGGGTGCCAAGCAGCTTATTTCAAGGTTCCTCGACTGCGGCATACTACAGCTACGACACGTGTCTCTCGACACCAGACTGTAAAACCATGCCTTTTGATGATGCTTGTCCCTTTGACTCTGTAGACACTGGGTGGGCCACTGCGCAAGAATGTCCAGAGAGTTGGTCTGATGTTTGTGACTGTCTTTATCAAGGGAACTTCTTGCCACCGGAGCTGTACACTCAATTTCCTGAAGATGAGCCGGGCAAGTATTCCATGGTTCCAAATATTGCCATCTATGGCACCGCATGCGCTGCTTGGGATCAAGTCCCTGGTACACCTTGGTCACATCAGTGTGCTCCTGGCTCAAACTGGTCAAGTCCCAATTTTAACTGGTGCCAGTTGCCTTGGTGCTTCGTTGACAAGCGGTGCGCTTCAAGGATTCCAAGTGTGGTTTTTAATGGTTCTATGGCTTACTACAGCTATGACACCTGTGGTAACACTCCAGACTGCTACAATGACTTTTCCAGTGACAAGCGCTGTCCCTATGACCCCTATGGAACCAAGAGCTACAAGGTACACAAGGGACATAACTGCGAGTGTATTTTGCATGGGTCGCATTTGCCTGCAGATGTGTATACCCTTTACCCACTGGGAGAGCCTGGCAAGTATGCAAACTTGACACACATCAGCGTTTATGGCACCACATGCGCTGCATGGGACCAAATGCCTAGCACCCCATGGGCTCCCTACTGTCCGCGAGATGCAGACTGGTGTCGCAGCGAATTCAATTTTTGCCAGCTGCCTTTTTGCTATGTGACTGAGGCATGTGACAGCAGGGTGCCAAGCAGCTTATTTCAAGGTTCCTCGACTGCGGCATACTACAGCTACGACACTTGTCTCTCGACACCAGACTGTAAAACCATGCCTTTTGATGATGCTTGTCCCTTTGACTCTGCAGACACTGGGTGGGCCACTGCGCAAGAATGTCCAGAGAGTTGGTCTGATGTTTGTGACTGTCTCTATCAAGGGAACTTCTTGCCACCGGAGCTGTACACTCAATTTCCTGAAGATGAGCCGGGCAAGTATTCCATGGTTCCAAATATTGCCATCTATGGCACCGCATGCGCTGCTTGGGATCAAGTCCCTGGTACACCTTGGTCACATCAGTGTGCTCCTGGCTCAAACTGGTCAAGTCCCAATTTTAATTGGTGCCAGTTGCCTTGGTGCTTCGTTGACAAGCGGTGCGCTTCAAGGATTCCAAGTGTGGTTTTTAATGGTTCTATGGCTTACTACAGCTATGACACCTGTGGTAACACTCCAGACTGCTACAATGACTTTTCCAGTGACAAGCGCTGTCCCTATGACCCCTATGGAACCAAGAGCTACAAGGTACACAAGGGACACAACTGCGAGTGTATTTTGCATGGGTCGCATTTGCCTGCAGATGTGTATACCCTTTACCCACTGGGAGAGCCTGGCAAGTATGCAAACTTGACACACATCAGCGTTTATGGCACCACATGCGCTGCATGGGACCAAATGCCTAGCACCCCATGGGCTCCCTACTGTCCGCGAGATGCAGACTGGTGTCGCAGCGAATTCAATTTTTGCCAGCTGCCTTTTTGCTATGTGAGCGCAGAGTGCCCCAGGAAGATTCCAACCCGGATTTGGCATGGTGTTGCGAGTGGCCCAGCAGTGAATAGCTCTATGGCCTGTATGGCTTCTCATTTTAGCTACGACACGTGCTTGTCGACGCCGGACTGCTATTCCCGGCCATTTGATGCAGCTTGCCCCTTTGACTGGGTCCATTCAGGCTGGAGTACGCAGCAGAGGTGTCCATACAGCTGGTCGGATGTGTGCCAATGCACATATCAGGGGCGCTTGTTGCCTCCCGATCTTTACATGAACTTTCCACTCGACTTTCCTGGGAAATACCAGCACTTGCCAAATATCGCGGCTTGGCTGCAGGAACATCGTTTTTTTTGACCAAGCATGCTGTGAACTATTAGCATCTATTATTCGTAACTATTATCGTCTACTGTGATTATCTTTGTATATCTTTGTATCATGTTGCGTGGTTTTCTCACCCTGTTTCTCCTTTGCATTCCGACCTCCAATTTGTGTGGCCTCCTTATGGGTGTTCGGCGCTTGGCCACTCATGATTCACGCTGAGGCAGCTTATGGGACCAGCTGTGCGGCCTGGGATCAGGTGCAAAGACAACAGATGGAGTGGTTCAATGTGTTTCCATTGGTATGAATAGCAACGATATAGAATAACAGCTGGCGATGGAGATAGAATGATAGGAGAGAGATATAATTCACAAGGTATTCCAAGGAAGTTTAGAAGTCAAACTTCCGACAATATGGACAGATGAAAAGGACAGGGGGGAAGAAAAGAGCAGAAGAAAAGAGATGCAAGCGCGCGAAAAGGTAGAAAAGTCGCGAAACACTGTTTTTTCCACTGATTTGTGGCTCCGGAGGGTCGAAAAGTAGGCTCGCTAAAGCGGCGGGTGCGGAGCCATCTGGCCAGATGAGAGATGAAAAACTGCACGCCTTTGTGGCGCGAAGCAGATTTCAAAGTCAAAAAGCTAAAAGCACCTCACGTTCGGCGCACTTTTGGAGGTTCAGATGTCGAAAAAAAGCACGCCGTTTTGGCGCGAAGCACTTTCCGATGTCAAAACGTACAAAACACATGTTCGGACCACCTTTGGAAGTCGGGATGTTGAAAAAGTGCACACCGTTTTGGCGCGAAGCACTTTCCGATGTCAAAATGTACAAAACAATCCCTGTGTACATTTCCACTATGAAATGGCTTGACCCATGTTCCATTCCAGGGTCATTTTTCTAACAAAAGGAGGCATTTTGTAAGGACATTTTTCTGGTCAACCATGCCATTTTGTAAAAAGCATGTTTTTTGCTGGGCGAATCATTTTGTAAGAGCCAATTTTCTTTACAAAATGAACTCGGGGCCAATCATTTCATAACGCAATTTTGGGTTCATTTCAGGCAGTGTAAAAAAGGGTATTGAAATCTTGGCCATGTCCAGGAATCAGGGTTTCTTCTCTATTTCTTTTTGGGGTTCCATCATTGATGTGTGAAGAACCGGCAAGACACCACTAAGTCAACCAACCAGAAAAGGTGATATCAAACTTTGTGGTATTTTTTCCAAAACTGGGACATTTTTCTGCATCTGCACGGTGCCAATCTTCAGCTGTTTTGGCTTTTTTCCCCACTGCGCAACTAGCATGGCGGCGCGTGAGCCACCACCAGGTTACCCTTCAACATGCGGGGTAGGCATGTGTGTCCATGATGTGCCCAAGCCAGTATGGAATTCACAGCGTCAGTGCTGGCGCTTCTCGGTAGGTCGAAAGGGCTGTGGTGCTGCAAGTTTGGAAATAGATGGTAATAACTGCTGGCATGAGTTGATATCTCCATTGGATCAGGGCAGCTTGATGTTCATGTTTGCCTGATGGTTTGAAACCAGTTTTCTTACAAAATGGCTTGGGGCTTGGGGCTAAAGGGGTTACTGCCCAGAGAAGTTCAGGGTGTCACAAACTATGCTACAAAATGGTTTGGTTGAAAAACATGTATGCATATGTATGCATTTATACGCATTTATAATCATTTATTTGCATTTATATTTATGCATTTATTTCTTCATCTTGTTCCAAACATTTCCAAACAAGATCAAACAAGTAGACGATACTGGGGCCATGTATTTGCAGACGGCAGCCAACGCAAATTGTAAGAATGTATGCGTCCCCGTTCTCATCCTTCTTTTGTCAGAGCCTTGCCGCCGCTGGTGACATCTGAGTTTCGCGCTGTTCTTTGGAGACGATGACTCAAGCTGGCAAAACGAGGCTCAGCAATCATCACTGCTACTATGATGAGAGCCTTATCTGCAGTCGGTGCTGAGGGAGACTGTTGAATTGTTGCAGGATTTGTGTGGATTTATGGGATCTGATGTAGATGTGAGAGTCCCGCAGTGAAGGTTACAGAATGCACTGCTTTGCTGTAGGCCAAAGGGTTGGCATAGACTGTACCAGTTGAATTCTTTATTTGTGCTTGTATCATGTCAGACAGTGTCATACCATTCATCTTGTAAGATTTGCAGCTGCCAACGCGATGCAGTCCCTCTTAATTTTTTTTCTAGACTAGATCCGCTTGCCCCCCCGTGACCTGTATCAGGGACACCTCTCTGTGGCAGTGGACGCATGTGATCTCCAAGTCGAGGCCAGTACTAAAAGAGCCTTGACTGCACAGCTTCTGCACGGGGCAGATCGGAAATGCTAATTTCAAGTAACTTTATGAAAATATACATGTAGAAACATTTAGATACACTTGAATACAGTTAATCATTCAGAAATAACTAGATATATCAAGATGATTTGAAACAAACCACTTTTTTATTTGACAGAAACATAGATGCATATAGATTCATAAAGCAATCAAAAGTTTCAATGTCTGAAGTAGCCATCACCATCAGTCAGTGCAATGGGGCAGAAGTTTGTCTCGATTGTAAAGAAGTCTTTACAAAATGGTATGTTTTCTTTGGGAATGTGGTTTTCGAAACAGATCCCAAGGCCACTCATTCTGGAGATGCAATCTGGGATAGATCAGGCACAATCATTGACTCGCATGTCATCACACCAAGCGCAGTGGTCTTCCGGGATTGTCCTGCTTGAGGGTTTGGATGAACATTGTTGTCTTTAATTCCCTCAATTTGTTTGTTGCCTGGGCGAATTTTATTTCATTTAATCTGTAGCATTTGGCTGAACCATTTGTGAAGACGAGCAAGCAGTTGGCACCTTGGCCTAGTGTGGCATGGTGCGCTTGTTTCTGAGCCTGAGCTTTCTCGGGGCGCTGCTGGCAGCTGCTGTCAAGCTCCCTCCGCTCTCAGATGACACCACATGTTTGAGCGGTGAAGAGTCGCCCTTGGCATGCATTTTGGAAGTGGTTTGGGATGCCTCGGGAATGTCTCAGGGGTGTAGATATGCTTTTTAAATGGGCTTACACATGCTTACAAAATGATTGGTTTTGCGCATCTATGGTTGCATCGGTATCTATCTATACATGTCTACACATGTTTATTTTCATTTTTATATTCAAATATGCAGAGATATTTGCCGAACCCCTTCAGTTTGTAAAGAAAACAAAGTCAAGCTCAGGTGGTTCGCAGCAGACAAGGCTTACAATAGCTTGCATGCCTATGCGGCTGGTTTGTCCGAGTTCCCATTGTACCATGTTGTGGATATTTTTGGTGGAAGCCAGCGGGTTGCCCAAGCATGGCGCAGAGAGGGAATGTCAGGGATCTCTTTTGACGTCAAGTTGAGCCGCTCTCACGACTTGACATCAGAGGATGGATGCAGGTCCCTGCTTCGATATCTGATGAGGCCTCCTGTTTCACAATGCACACATGCATACAAACATTTGCACCACATTGGCACACAGAAGTATATATGTGTAAACATATTTGGTTGTGGGTGCATGTCCCCCCTAGATCCATTCTAGATCCCCCTAGTAGATCTTAGATGATCTTAGTAGATCTTAGTGGTAGGCAGGAGTTATGATGAGTTATGTTTGTCCTCAGCATTCCGGAACCATCGAAAACCAGTGTTTAGCTTGCAGGCTCTTCACAAACGGTGTGGCTATCGCCGCACCACCATGTTCTCTCTACAGCTGTGCTTGTGCCTCCGTCCACAAGCGGACAAAGGAGAATGTTCGCGGTGACTTGGGAAACTGGAAGGTGAGGTTGGCCCGGGTCATATGGACCAACTGGGTTGCTTGAATTCAACGAGACATTTAACAATAAATTATTTGTTGGCAGGCCTGCTGGGATTTCAAGTGATGTTGATTTTGTATGATTTTGTATGATTTTGATTGATTTTGTATGATTTTGTGCGCAATTTCTTCCACAGGGACCCAAAATGAGCCTCCCAGAATACAAAATGGCTTGTTCAAGTCAGAGGCTTACAAAATGGCTTGGGGATGCTTGGAGCCATGAGAGAATACTCCACTCGCCCAGGTTACATGTATGAAAATACTCCACTCGCTGCGACCAGATGTTTGGCTGATTTGCGAGCAGCCAAGCACATCATGGGGCTTTTGCCAACCGGAGTTCGTGCAGCTGGCAGAACTGATGGGGATGTTCCTTACATTCAAATACATTCAATTCATATATCATTTAGATCAATTGATCAATTTATATCAATTTATTTGAACTTATGTGAATTTATACGAATTCAGCTGAAGCACATATGCACAGGGGTCCACACTTCTCCTCTACGTTGCGCTCGCTGAGGGCGTGCACTTTAACGTACCTGGGCATGTTTGGCCATGATTTGGCCAAACCCACCAAGATTTATTCTAACATGAGGACTTGCGGGAATGGAGGGATGCAACTGGGAGGTACATGCAGCAATACTGCTGCTCTGTCATTGAAATTTGATTTGAATGCAATGTAATTAAAAGCTTGTGAAGACCTGTGTAGATCCCTTTGTGGATGAACGTGGTCATGAGTTTCGGTCCCTGGGAATGACAGGACAGTGCAGAGTGTTCGCCGCACACTAACCAAGTGCAACCGCCTCCGAATCAAGGCCTATGTTCTTGGCACCCTGGACAACCCCCTGCCTGCTCCAACTTGAACCAGTTTCCACATGTTTCCGCCAACATGTTGTTTTTTTTAGCAGGAAAGGCATGTGAAACAAGTGGGTCCTGCAATATTGATCAATATTGGGTATGACATCGTGCATGCAGGCGAGGTTTGCACGCCGGCAAGCCAAGCGTCGTCGGCCTTTGGAAGCTTGACTAGAGATTTGGGTTCCAGGGATTCAAATTGTATGCACGAATATACACGACCCAAAGATATTTTCAGAGGTGTTTATGAATTTGTTCTTACTTCCAAGGTGGCTTCCATGTGTGTCCATTTGTGGTTATTTCATGTTAACTCTAGGCTAAAATGTCTGTTACAAAATGCCATGGGGCCA